AGAAAGGTCACAGACAGCGCCAATAAGTCACTATTTTGAAAGACTGTTTGTTGAAGTCCTGCAGATACTATAACCATTCTCCTAAAATTACATTAGCTGAGCAAGATCTCAGCAACCTTGAACAGCTGCAGAGATTCAGGGAAAGGCTGAGATATACAAAATGAACACATCAATATTATTAATCTGTAACTATGGTAACCCTTCTAGTTTAGGATGAGCCAGTTGATTTCAAACTTGGCTCCAAAGGTTCAAGCATTAAATGCATCCTCTACAGAATATTCATTCATATATTTTTATTTTATTTTATTTGTCAATTGCTTACAAGATAATAGGTATAAGTATAAACATAGTTATGAATACATGAAATGGATACATATAAGAAAAATAAAAAGAAACAATAGGACAGAGACAGTAGGCACGTTGGTGCGCTTATGCATGCCCCTTACAAAAGCTAGCCGCTTTTGGTGCTCCGATCCGGACGGGTCCGGAGCTAGGCTGCCCTGCAGGGGCAGCTGAAGATAGGGGGGATCCGGAGAGGGGTTTGGGGGTGTTGCAGACCCCCTCCCCGGCCAGCAGAACCCCCTTTTCCCAAGACGGTGCAGCGGCGGTCCGTAATGGCCGCCACAAAGAAGCTGGCAGCCGGGTAAGAATGCGCAGGAGGAAGTGGAGAAAGTATTTGAAAAGAGAAAGTTTTTCTTGGTTCCCAGGACTCTAAGACATATTTAACAAAACTCCTGAAAATTATGACTTTCTGAATGATACCTTCTAGAAGAGGAAAAAAGCGGCAGTTTGGTGGTGCTGAAAGGAAAGTTTACTCTCCTTCCCAACGGAATTAATAAGTGGACATTGAGAAACCTGTTTTTTTCAGGTAAAATTAGCTTTATGGGATAAGTCGGAAGGGAGAGGACAAAAAATATATTCATCTGGTTTGATTTTGTTGGAGGAGATGCCTTAAGGATTTGAAGACAGAAATAGAACTCCAATAAGGCTTCAAAATACAGATTTGGGCTTTCTTTTTTCTTTTGTCTGATACTACCCCTGGAAGAGAAAGGGAGAATTTTGTCTTGGCTTGGATTGATTGAGGATTGTGGATTTTGGGATTGTTTTACTTTTTTTTTGAAATATCTTGGTTGGTGTAAGAAGAAAGAGGGAAAAAAGAAAAGAAAAGATCTATAATGGCTTTTTCTTTTGAGGAACTGAGGGAAGAATATGAGCAAACAAAAGCAGCCGGTAAAGATGGTATGGAAAAAGCCTTCCTATTTTTAGAAATGGCGCTGGTTAACTATCAACAAACAATACAACAGATGGAGGCAGAAGAACAACAACAAGAAGAAGATGAAGACGCCATCTTTAATGAATTCCAAAATTTAACTAAGAAAGAAGGAAGGAAGAAAGCGAGGAAAATGAAGGACTTAAGATCTAAAAAACATTTAAGAAAGAGAAAAATAAGATGCAAAATAAATATAAAGGTAGTAAACAAAAGAAAAAGGGAACACAACAGAGAAGGGATGCCAGCAAGGCAGAGGCTAGAAGAAGGGGGGGTAGGAAGATTTGGTGGGGGAAGAAAGAAAGGGGAAAGGCGGAGAAAAGCCACAACGTTTTGAAATTAGATGGGAAAAGAGGAATTTTTTTTAGGGACAAAGGGTAAAGTACAATTTCCTTAAAAAAGATTTTGCAAGGTACATAAGATGGTATTGTAACATCTGTATTAGAAATAGAAAATTAGAATGGCTTAAGAGTTAATAAGAAATTAAAATGTTGAAATGTTTAACAATGATTGAGTTTAAAATGTAATAAAATATTAAAGGGAAAGGCAATGGGAATGTTATAAGATTTAATATTTAGATTTATTATTTAACTATGTATTTAATCATTTTGGATTTATCACTCTGTTTTTATTGTTATTAAAAGAAAAAAATTAGTAGATAGAATGTACCAAGCAGAATCAGATTGGGTATTAGGTGTTATTTTAAATGTTAATCTAATTAATTTAGGGGGAGGATAGAAAGGCATCATACTCTAATTAGTGACTTCAGGAGAAATTCTTTTTTTTTTAAATAAGGAATGAGATAGAGGGATAATAAAGAATGGGCAAAAGATACAAATATAATGATTTAAATTAAGATGGATTAAATAAGATAGAATTATGAAGAGTGAAATGTGTGGAGAAGTCTATATGGAAGATATAGAATGGTAAACAAAATAGGTAATGATATGTAAGATGAGCATGAATATAATTGAAGCCCATATAAAGAGAGGTACATGGGGCCAAGTTACTTTCCTAAAAGATTTTTTATATGTTTGTTTGTTGTGTGTTTATGTTTTTGAGAGTATTAATAAAACCTTGTAGAAATACAGAATGAGAATAATGGTAATCAAGTCAGAAAGAAATAGATGAAATAATAATAGTGAAATTGAATAAGAGTAAAGAGAAGTAAAGAGAAATTGGATAAGAGGTATTTTTATGCTCATATGGAAATGGCTTAAAATAGAATTGTATAAAATAAGGTTTTATCTGACTTGTAAAATTTATAATGGAAAAAGGTTCAAATATGTAATGGTTGATGATGATTTGTTTGTCTTTGAAATTAATAAAATTTGCTTTAAAAAAAAAAGGAAAGGGGTGAGGTCAATAGTAGACAGTCTAAGGTTAAAGTGTTTGGGGTTTGGGGAAGAAACCACAGAGTCAGGTAGAGTATTCCAGACATTGACCACTATGTTGCTGAAGTCGTATTTCCTGCAATCAAGTTTGGTGCGGTTTACCTTGAATTTGTATCTATTGTGTGCTCTTGTGTTGTTATGGTTGAAGCTGAAGTATTCATTGACAGGTAGGACATTGCAATGTATGATTTTATATACTATACTTAGATCGGACCGAAGGTGGCGTAGTTCTAGGTTTTCTAGGTCTAGAATTTCAAGTCTTGTGGCATAAGGTATTCATTCATTCATACCTTCATTCATTCTCAATATTTGTATGATTGGAAAACCATCCTTCCAACAACAGAAAAGAATTTACTAAAAATATAGCATATGCCTCAAAACCTAGCATCAGATAACTTAATGGTCTGGAGTCAGCAAAAACAAAATAAAACGTATAGTTTAGGAAAGACAAAACAAAACAAATTAACTCGTTCGGTCTATTTAATCAGCCAAAAGAGTGGGAGGAACCTTGGGTAGAAATTCTAAAAATATATTTGATTGCACTTAAATGAAAAGTCTAATTTTTAATTTCCAGCAATCCTTCTTGCAGGGTGCATAAAGGAGCCCAGTACAATTATATATATAGTTCAGCTCCAGAATGCCATATGACCAGATACAGATCACAGCCCGCTACTAATAATCTCCAATTTTTTAAATTAACCATATGTTATCCTCATTTATAAACTAGAAAGTGATTATTAACAGGTTCAGAACTTGGTTTATAACTTTGAATTAATCAAACTTAGCTGATTGTCCTTCTAGTTCATCAGAATTGTTTAACTTTCTCCTCTTCTTTTTTCTTTAATATTCTCTCAACATTTTCAAGAAACTTTTTCCTTCTATTGCAGATATCCAGATGCAACCTTATCTGAGTATGCACTATGTCCTTTTTTACCTTGATGAAAATCATAAAGCCCTTGTAAGCATTGCCAAGCATTTGTAAAACACTGTTACAGTCTTCTTGTCTTCCTCCCAATCCCCTCCATGTGTCCAAAACTGTCTGGCAGCTCTCTTGTCTCTATCACCCACACGGGAGTCTTCAGGTTTCTGCTACACCATTATCAGTGCCATTAAATGTTCAAAGTCATCTAACTGAGATTTGAACCAACCGTGTAACAAAAACTTTTTATAAGCTGTGACAACTCCCTAGCTTTTGTGTAGCACACAATTTCCTAAAGCCTCTGGTCCTTTGTCTTGGTCTCGAGGTTCAAAGTTTTTTTTCAGATGGCAGAAGACTGTCTACCAGTTAGCTTAAGATTCTACCACTTTTCAAGTCTTAATTCCAGTATTTCCACTCTTGACATTTAAAAGACTCATGGGCCCAACCTAACATCTGTGTCATCAATTTCTCACCACGTTGAAAATTTTTGTTGAGTAAAGGAAGAAGAAAAAATGTTCTCTTGTAATAGTTTATTCTGACAGCCTAGTCTGCTATAGTGAGAACATCATAATCAACTTTCTAGCATCAATAACATTCTGCATACTACATACACCCATACATAAGTAGGGTAGAAAATTGGACAATCAACAGATACCAATTTTATTCTTCAGGAGCATTCTTTCTCCATATTGCTAATTATAAAATATTTATGGAACAGTACCATCATTTCTATTTCATTTGTTAAAAGGTAAAAGGCAGTGGTGGGATTCAGCCAGTTCGCACCACTTGGGAGAACCGGTTATTAACTTTCGGAGCAGTTTGGTGAACTGGCTGTTGGAAGAAATCATTAGGGCAATCATTAGAGAACTGGTTGTTTGAATCCCATCAGTGGTAAGAGGCAAATCATCCATGTTTTCAGCCAAGCCAAGTTATAATGTCTTCCATCTGCCTATGTCATTATGCCTGGCTTTATGTGACCTGGCTGACTTCAAAAGCTAAACACTAAGGACTGATTTTCTATTAATATTTGGAAGATATTGTCAATAACATTGACAATAGTCTAGACATCGATCAAAAATTTCATACAATAAGATCCAAATCGGAACACAACCGCCCTACTTCATCCCATCCTGGTAGAGCATGGTAGAATCATTAGTGCCTCGACCTAAGTCTGCTAGTCTTTTGAATAAAGAAAGCTTGCCATCCTATACCCAAAGGCTAATATAAGATGTCACCCCATCCTTCATATCAAGCACATCTTTCTGTGTCCCTCACAGCAGAAAAAAGCAGAAACAGAGGGAATAGCAAGAGACAAAGCTTCTTACCATATGATTCAGACTAACACCAGATCAGGAATAGATATTCTATGGTGTCTGCAATTTGGCAGCAGATGGCTCCCTGGACAACAAGGAGAACTTACCTGACATGCATTGTACAGAAGCTGATGCTCAAATTTCTTGATCCCCAGGATGTTCTGGAACATCTCATACAGCTGCTCCTTGCTGAGAATCAGCTCTGAAGCAGCACTGGCTGTCATTCTGGCTTGAGCTTTGCGTGGATCTTCTTCTCCTCGATATATGGCATCAAATTTTGCCATCCAGGAACTCAGGACAGTCTCCTTACTGAGGCCATCAATCTCAGGTAGGCTGCGGACCCTCTTTTCGATATGTTTCTTGAAGACTTCTCGGGAGTCATTAGCTGAGAACCCACCGCTCTGAACCATTTTGGCGACACGGTCACTTTTCAGAAATACCTGCAAGGTAAACAAAAGCATATACTGAATCCTTCCTAAATGTGAAAGAACTGGAAACATATCTCATTATAAAACTCCCTATGATTCCTTTGTGGGGCTGCCACAAAGAAGAGGGAGTCAAGCTATTCTCCAAAGCACCTGCGGGCAAGATAAGAAGCAATGAGTGGAAACTAATGAAGGAGAAAAGCAACCTAGAACTAAGGAGAAATTTCCTGACAGAAAAATTAGTCAGTGGAACAACTTGCACCCCGAAGTTGTAAATTCTCCAACATTAGAAGTTTTTAAGAAAAGATTGAACAACAATTTGTCTGAAACGCCATAAGGTTTCCCGCCTAAGCAGGGAGTTGGACTAGAAGACTCCAAGGTTCCTTCCAACTCTGCTGTTCTGTTCTGTTCTGTTCTGTTCTGTTCTATGCTATGCTATGCTATGCTATGCTGTGCTATGCTATGTAATTCTATGCTATGCTATGCTATGCTATGTAATTCTATGCTATGCTATG